CATGGCGGTGCAGAGACATGGACAGACCACTTGCCTGTGACCGAACAAGCAGAGAGTTCTTGAATGGCCTCCTTGGCTGTGAAAGGACAGACAGTGAGTTCATGAACGGCCTCCATGGCCGTGACAGGGTAGACTGTGAGTTCATGAACGGCCTCCTTGGCCGTGGCAGGACAGACAGTGAGTTCATGAACGGCCTCCATGGCCGTAACAGGACAGGCAATGAATTCATGGACGGCCATGAATAAAAGACATGAAAACATGAACAAGAAACACAACCCAAAACACCACATTACATTTCCCTCCCTCTAAGGGCCTCCTTGGCCGTGAAAGGACAGATAGGGAGTTCATGAACAGCCTCCTTGGCCATGGCAGGACAGACAGTGAGTTCGTGAACGGCCTCCGTGGCCGTGACAGGACAGTCTGTGAGTTTGTGAACGGCCTCTGTGGCTGTGGTAGGACAGACAGTGAGTTCGCAAGCGGACGCCACCACCTCAGGACGTTCTGCAGCGGATGCCGCCACCTCTGGAGGTTCTGCAGCGGAGGAGAGGGCTCTGGAGCGGACTCGTGGACAGGAGAGGCCTCTGGAGCGGACTCGTGGACAGGAGAGGCCTCTGGAGCGGACTCGTGGACAGGAGAGGCCTCTGGAGCGGACTCGTGGACAGGAGAGGCCTCTGGAGCGGACTCGTGGACAGGAGAGGCCTCTGGAGCGGACTCGTGGACAGGAGAGGCCTCTGGAGCGGACTCGTGGACAGGAGAGGCCTCTGGAGCGGACTCGGGAGTGCAGTGTGCAGCCCACACGCTCAAAATGGCGACTGCCATTATAGGAAGGGCAGCAGAGTGTGGCATGACCTCTAAGACAGCGTGGCTTGAGAGCGCTGATGTCACCGGGATGCCTGCAACTCGCACCGACATCAGAGGTGGTTCCATCACACTAGCAATTAGCCTTTACAGTCTTGGCCCAAACTCCGCATTCGCAGGACCTTGGATACTATAGCCCCCTCCCCCCCTCCCCCAAAATCCTTAGGGGAAATCTTGGAGATGGAGATAGTCGTGACGTGTAGAGGCTCAGGCATGGTGGCCATCTTGGCCGGGGACTCAGCCGTGGTGGCCATCTTGGCCGGGGACTCAGCCGTGACCGGCATGATGTGAGCAAGCTCTGGACGTGAGCAGGCCCTGGGGTAGCAGACATGATTTGAACAGGTTCTGACTTGGTAGATATGACATGAGTAAACTTTGACTTCTCTGGCATGGTGTGAGCAGGTTCTGGAATAGCAGACATGGCATTAGCAGGCTCTGGCGTAGCAGGCATGACGTGAGCAGGCTGTGAACATGACACAATGAACAGGGGAACCAATGGCATGAATACATGAGGGCAAGGGAAGCATGACACAAACAGGGACCATGAAACAATTACAAAATAAAAGACATGGAAAACATGAACATGAAACAAAACACCACATTACATTACATTACATTACATTACTTTTTTCTCCATGAAATTTATGAAATCCCAGCATACACGCTTCTGATAAATATTTGTTATTAAAGCATCAACATTCTCACAGAACACTGTTATTTTTAACTAAAGCAAGCGGCTGCTGCGTGCATGGTTTGGCATGGCAGAATGCCAGCAAAGAACGCTGCATTTATAATCTCTAAAAGACATTTCAGTTCGTCGCAATCTCACAAATCTGTTATAACACAATATATGCATAATGAATCTTTCATAATGTCTACAATTCGTGGGTTATAATGAGAGTATTCGTGAGCACGCAAATTTCAGCACTGCATTGCTCAACGCTGCAAACACGTGGCCTAAATAGAAACTCTGCATACGCTTTCACCTGTTAATCGTTTATATTTTATATTAGTTCATGTTGCTTTTGTGCAAAAGATGAATAATTTATTTGTTTTAGATATTTTATGTTTAGATATTTCTATTTTGCGGGAGTCCCGTGAATCCACTGGCACTCGACAGTGCGTGTGCTACATCCTTTTTACAATCTCTAGATTATAAAACACTGCATTCTGTCAGCAATGTAACGCAGCAGTAACGAATAGAGACCTCGGCTTGTAACTATACTCTAATTACTATTTTGAAAATTATAACGCGCTAAATTACTCCGTTACTAAAAAAGTAATCAAATTACAGTAACGCGTTACCAAGTAATGCATTACTGCCCAACACTGCTAATCGACCATCCTAGCCCAACAATTTCATTCAAGTTCATTTCCTAGATGTAAAACCATAAAAAGTGTTTTTTGCTAGTTTTAAAAGTGAACTAGCCATCTGGAGATGTAGTTTAAGAGCTGTGGTTTGGCATCTATAGATCCGTTGCCCTCAACCACGTACATTTCGGCCCACAATTATAAAGGAACACTCCCAACAATCAATTCAGGGGCCTTTTTTAATCTCAGAATACTGTTAATTACAAATGGCTGTTTGAACGATTTCAAGTAATTTTGCCTTAATTAAAGAAAGCTAAATGGTGTGGTCGTGAATGGTCTTCAAAGGCTGCATACTTCATTAGGGGAGCCAGAGTGAGAAGAAAGAAACACAAAACAAGTGAGGGGTGGAAGATAAAGAGGAGGAAAAGAAAGGGCACTTGCCTTTTGAGCTAACTCTGAGGCCCTCTGTTCAAACTCCTCAGCCCTGGCTTTATCCACACACACCTCTGCGGAGAAACCATGGAGAGATTAACCATTTAAATTCAAAGTAAACAAACCAAATAAATTCAAGGATAAAAGCATACACACCTAACAGGTGGCTGAAGTCCACATCCAAACGTTTGCGGTAGGCAAAGTCAGGATCTGTGCCGCTACGATGAAGGACGATTTGAGACACACACTCCTCTATGATCTTAAAATACTGAGGCCTAGAGGACAGAGAACAAGAGAGAATACGAGGGAGTGATGAGGGAAGAAAAATCAATGCATTGTATTATCTTTTTGGGAATACGGTACCACTGACTCTGGCACAAAATGAGAAAAATTGTTAAATTAACTCTAAATCCTCTGACAGTAGCAATACTGGCTTATACAAGCCATTAACTAGTGTAATGAAAATGACTGAGTCCTTTAAATCTGCTATGCTGCTCGACACTCACATAAAACCGAAAGAGATATAAAACTGAAAGGGATTTGGAGAGAGACATAACAAAACTGAGAAGGGATGACGTATGAGATATGGTAGAGTGAGCTCATTAAAACTGCAGTCAGGCAATAGATGTGCCCAACTCCACACCTGGAGTTTTGCGTTTCTATCCCTGTTATGATAATGCAAGCTCATCACTTTCATAGTTATATATTTGAATTAAAAAACACAAGTAATATTTGTTTGTATATTATAAACTGGGCTGACATGTTTAATAACTCTAGCCTTTGTGACGGAATACAAGTTAATATAATAAGTCAATAAAAAAGTTAAATTAGCAGAGCTTTGGAGGGGAAAGTGGAAATAATTTGAATCAATTAGACTGAGGTGATGCTCTTTGATCTGAGGTGATCACTCTGACCTTTCACAGGCATCATTTCTCAAGGCACTGTGAAGCTGATGCCCAAAATACACCATAATAATGTCTAAAATTCTAATGCTAATAATCATGTTCACTAATTGATATATTTGACTACGGCACAAATAAAGTACCCAAATCAACCACATAGAGAAATATCAAATATGCTTTACATAAATTAGGATTATAAAAATCAGGTGACCATATTTTCAGTTTTAGAGTGAATCGGCATTAAGGGCACATGAATCAACATTTCCTGACCATAAAAAGAAAAAAAGTGTGTAGTCATGGTACACTCTTTTCCATAACGACTCAGAAAGAGCTAAATGATCACTCTTTGACTTGAATACCACACCAACTGGCATATGAATGTGTATATTAATGAAGTAGGTATACATTGCCAATCTGCAGTGGCTTTTAAAAACCGAGTAATATAGATCCTGTGTTCTACATATTAGGAGCCTGCCTTTTGATCAAGACCAGGTTTAACACACCCCCAGCTGTGAGCTCAAAGACATGAAAACTCTCTTTGAGCAGACGCCACAGATGAAAAGAGAGAGCAAGGAAGAGAGAGGGTATATAGGGAACGGGAAGAGTAATGTGGGCATGTGAGATGAGAGGAAGATGAAAGCAGGTCCATTCTCTTTGTCGGACACTGTCATTGGATGGTTTGGGGGGGAATAGACCAGCAGGGCGTTTGGACTGCCTGTGTAGAATAAATAGCATTCATGGACAAAGTTTAGAAAGAAATGTTCATGAGGTGAGAAGAGCTTACTGGGACGACTGGGGCCGTTTAATAAAAACTGACCAATTTACCATCAGGACTCGAGGAGTAGACATAGCCAAGTTATGTTTAGTTGGTCAGAGCAGAATTTATATTCAGTTTAGAAACAAGTAAAGAACGCTTTGGGATACTAATATTTTCAGGATTAACTGCAGCCAGGTCTTCCCTCCAGATCTCTACATAATAAACTACAATTTTAATAATTTGTTCATGCTGATGAATACAAATCTACCTGAATTATTGCAAAATACATAAAATTGTATATGTATACAAATTAATACAATTCTATTTTAATTTATAAATATTGCATAACATTTTACACACATACATATGATAGACAGACATTCAGATAAATAGATAGAAAGAACAAAGGATAGATAAAAAATATATAACGAAGAACACGGATAGATGTAACGATTGAAAGATTGATAGAGCAACAGAACGATTAAACGATCGGTATAGGGAACGACAGAGTGAACGAACAATCAATCGAGTGAAAGATAGAAGATATTGCGGAAGATATAGAGATGTATATATAGACATATCTCTTTAAGCAGAACGGGCACTTCTTTTCTCCTGTACCGGCGCTCAGCAGATGGTCTCTATCTTTACACCTCTATTTCCCTTTGCACTTCTCTCTTCTGTCAAAGCTGTTATCCTTAACACAATACAGCTCACTGGCTAAAGAGCTTGAAAAGCTGTTCTCCAACACAAAACACACCCGAGTCATTAGTGAGACCTTAATGCCGTGAGATATGTGCCATTGCATCACTGGCACTAAATTAGTCCGAAATTAATAAAACCCTCAGACTAGGTTTGAAAGGGAGGAGAGGCGGCATTTTCATGAAAATTCATGAATACAAGATGAACGTAACGTGACTTGTAAGGGCCTGAGTTTATTTTCCTTTAGGTTTATGAAAAGTCCTTGTGTGTATAATACCATTCAAAAGTTCAAACACACCTACTCATTCTTTAAAATCATTTGAAAATGCATACATTAGTAATAATAAATGCAAAACGAACAAACTGAAACAGAAGCATGGGAATGCCGTAGTAGTAGTAATTAAATAAAATGTTTAACTAGTCAAAAAGATTTTAAGTAGCGGCCCTCTGTCTACATTACATGCCCACTTGTTGGGTGCTTTTTTTATTCACTCTTAGGTCAACTTTAAAATAAAATAAAATAACCCTTACTGTGTGAAATAGTCATTCCTGACCAGAAGCAGGTGCTGTAGTATGGAAAGAAAATGGCTCTCAGTGCTCGTGTCCTTCACAGAGGAGTATAACACATTAAAGACATCTCCAATATCAGTACGCACTGTGTTAAGGAGCAAACACTGCAACTGGCAAAATAAAAGCAAAAAATGGAAACATACAAAAGAAGAGAGTGTACACACTCTTTATACATGCAGTGTAGACACAAAGACAGAGCAAAGAATTACTGACTAGCCTTGTCACAGCATGAGACTTGTGAAACATTGCTAATGAAAGCAAATGATTCAAGATGATTTATAGTTATGATTAAATCTAAGAAAACAGCATCAATACAGTCAGTGCATGGTTTTTGAAGATATTATTACAGTCTGCATATGACCAACATATTATTGTTGGAGGTCCTCTAAGGATTAAAGAATGAGTGGGTGAAAAAAAAGAGAAGACGACACAAGGGAGGGAGAGTTTTCTGAGGAGCGTTTAAGTGTGGACAGAATATCAAATTAAATTGCATGCATCTCAGCATCAGAAGGATATTCTAGTTCACTCCTGATGTCCTCCAGGCGATGGGAGAACTCAATCATGTCCTCCTCCTTGTGCTCCTCGAAGACCTTCAGCTGGATATCCAGAGCATAATTTTTTACAGCGTTCAGGCTCTACACAGATTGAAGGGCAAGGGGAAACAAAGAGAAGAAAAGAACAAATTAAATGGACCATGCCACAGAAAACACTATATTCCTTGATCTTTTGAATAAAGACTTTGATACAGTACTATGTAGCCACACAACTCAAAGTTCCCTGTTAGTCCACCCAAACTATTGCTGGAAACTAAAGGCAAGTGCACACTACAAAAATGAGGTGCGACAAGACTTCATAATTGACTAACATAGTCTGGAATTAGTTGTGTACAGTGTGCACCAACACAACAGAAATCAATAAACTGCAAATGTTTTACTATTCTTATGTACACTTGGCCTAAGCTGCAAAAAATATGAAAAAAAACATGTTTTGATGTCAGAATGACAAGCACATTAACACATTTACACAACCAACTAGTCAGTATTCAGAAAACTGGTGGGAGCTTTGTTGCTTATTTCATACGCAAAGAGGTTAGCCAATTAGAATAGAGGTCAACTACTTATAGAAGTCTTACAGATATAGTAGCAAAAACAGCACGTATAATTCTAAGGAGCAGCTAGGCAAAGAAATTGAGGGAAAAATTATATTTTTGTTGCAAGAAAGCATGACTAACATTTTAAGTGGACTTTGAATCCCTTATACATAAATACACTATCAAAGTACTAATCAAAAGTTTAGGAATGGTACTTTCTTTTCAGCAGGGATGCATTAAATTTATCAAAAATGATAAGTGATTTTTCATTGTTAGAAAAATTATATTTTAAATTAAAGCTGTGATTTTGAACTTTCTGTTCAAAGAATCCTGGGAAAAAATGTATCACGGTTTCCACAATAATAATAAGCAACACAACTGTTTTGAACATTGATAATTAGAAATGTTTCTTGAGCACCAAATCAGCATATTAGAATTATTTCTGAAGGATCATTTGACACTGACACCGGGGTAATGGCTAGTGAAAATTCAGCTTTGCCATCACAGGAACGATCTGTAATTGATGTCAGTGATTTTTAATTAGCCTTGACAATTAGTTTTTTTTTGACAAAGCTCGAAAGCAAAAGTTCATGGCCTTGAATGTCTCACTGAAGCTTCAGGGCTCTACAATGCGACCAAATGGCGCTGCCATTTCTGTTGCATATGAGAAACATCAAACGGCTAACGAAACTGAAAGCATAACGAAACCGCGGTACTCGTTTGAGCTGCGCAGCGCTTCGATTGTAGAGCCTGGTTTATACTCGCCACGTCAGCAAGAGAAAGAAGGTGCACGCAGCCAAAATGATGCGAATATTGAGGAAACGATGGATGGTTTTCATGCTAAAGTAAAGTAAAAGACCGCTTCTTAAACCAGAAAGGGTGAACATGTTGGTATTCTTGTGGGGAAAATTATGCAAGCACTGTCACCGATAGCAAGTTTAGGTTTACTTTTCTTTTTGTTTTCATTTTGAAAAGCTTATCTTTGCGGTTTACCTCACGTTACGCTATGAAGGCACTCTTATATTATTTTTATTTGATTCCTCACTGTTTGCTAAACGTTCTGTAATTTATTAGTCTGTATAGAATACAGCATGTGGTGTTTGCCATCTTATTCGTTTTTGTTAATAAACGGTTTGTAAGCTTGTTTATCATTACTGTTTTATTGTTGTTGTGCTTTTTAATTAAGAACAACAATGAATACATATTTTGTTTTAGTTTTAAAAAGTGAAAGGTGTGTAGATATGTAAGCAAAACAGACAACGATCCTTTCTCGTAAAACGTGACAACAAGATCGCGAATTCGAACGTGAAAGCATCCGAAGAAGCCTGGCTTATAACACAGCAAAAGAGGATCTCCCGTTAACAAAATCAAATCACAAATAATAGGCTACTACTGATGAAAATGAACAGGTTAAATGTTAACCACTTTCGTTTACATATAACTATAAACTATGATAAAAGTTAATCAGCATGCATTGATTAATCTCATGTTGTAGCTCAAAAAAAAAAAAAAAATTGCGACCAAATCATGTGCTCATGCGACCAACTGAGAAAGTTAGTCGCAAAAGAGCGACCAGTGGGAATAATGAGTCTGGAGCCCTGAGCTCGTTTTGAAGGGTAATGTATATGAGACTGCAGTTTGAACCTGTTGAAGAGCATCACTGTGGTTTATGACTCTCACAGAGCTCTCAACCAACATAGAGGATTCCATCACCTCAGTCAAAAACTACTATTCATCTCCTCAAGCAACAAAGAGCATCAATTATTGATCAGCCTTCTCCGTGACACTCTAAATCACACGTGTGTGAGGGAGTGTTTAGTTAAAAGTAACTGATGCATTCAGGGAACTGAGCTGTATTGAACAGACAGTGAAGTCTGTATAGCTCTGTGTGTCTGTACCTCCTGTTCACATCATGTCTGATGATGCAATAATTGATTATTACACAACAAACCACACCAAATCCAAATTATTTATAGTGGTGAGTCTCAACTTAACAGGCTGTGATGGCACAAGGCTGCTTACCATTCTAGTAAGGATTTGTCAAATAGATTCATACAGCAACAGTAGAGTTTTTTTCTTTTTAAATTTACTGATTGTGCTGTATGATTTGGATTCACTACGTTCATAAGTATAATACATTTTAATAACAATCAGGACACTACATACATGATTTAATCCATTCATTAAACGATTCATCAGCTATTCAAACAGTAACTCCTGAGTTCATGAGTCTTTTGAAAGATGCACTAAATGGACAGACTCACAGGACTGCTGTAATTAAAGCAGGTTTGATTTTTTTTATCTTCCTTATCACTCTGTATTTACAGGATTTCACTGTACTGTATTCAGTAGGTGTAATGTATTCTAAGTTGCTTCAGAAGTATTGCAAGTACTACGTACAACAATAAAACTTTTACTTTTGGTACTTAAGTACTTTTAAAAGCAAGTACTTCTGTACTTTTACTTAAGTAAAAATCTGTCTTTACAACTTTTACTTGTAATGGAGTAATATTTGACCAGCAGTATCTGTACTTTCACTCAAGTAATGGAGTTGATTACTTTGTCCGCCTCTGGTTACGGGAAACAGCTCTAATTCTGCTTTTCCATAAACGCCATCTAGTGTCAGCGAGTGGATTTACAGAGACTTACATTTACATTCAGCCTGTGTGCAGTTTCTGTCTGTCCAAAAATGGACCGAATTTGCATGCCCTGCTGTAAATTGTGATCGGTTGATGAAAAACAAGCTTATGTGGATTCTACACATTTAAACAATTCAGATAAGTTATCTAGAATTATTTATGGAGCAGATAAAATACATATAATAATTTATTAATCAATTATCATTTTGACTTAACTCTTTTCTTTATTTAAAGGCTGAAATGTGAGGTTTACCCTTTTATTAAACTTTCAAAGCTTTATTTGAATATTTACATTAGATATTTCAACATGCTATTAAACTGTTGTCAGTCAAGTTGTCATTTAAAATCCGAACATCATTGGTAATGTGATTGTTTTAGATTGACTTTTTAAAAAAAAGTCATTTTATTTGATGTTGATTTTTAAATAAAGCTTGAAGTGATTTGTGTCAGTACTTTTTTAACATCTCCAGCACATTTTAACAATACCGTGATAATACTGAAAACCGCAATAATTTTGGTCACTATAATCGTGATAAGAAATTTTCATACCGTTACATCCCGACTCAAATGTTTATAATTCTTAATGCAAGGCTCAAAACAGAAAAAGATACTGAATAAAAATGAGTCTGTAATGATGGGCTATATATTTATTATATTTTTCACAGCAAAAAGCAAGAAAAAAATGGGCAGAATAAGTCTTTCACAGGCAAAACCCTTTGATTTAAGAGCCGATGACACTGTATTATTCATATTTGTGTGGCTCAGCGATTGAACTGTGGGAGGAATCTCCGGAAGGAAAGCCTATGAGCCTATAAAAGACACTTGCTGACAGCTTTCATGAGGGAAAAGAAAAACATATGAAAAACATATCTGCCATTAATAACTGCACCGTCGTCTTAATCTGCCTACTTCACATGCCTGGCGAGAGACGGGAGTGGTAAGAGGACAGGATGTGGAGAGAAAGAGAAAATCTATTCCTGTGAGAATCACTCACTCTCCATTAGCTCAGAGTAATACAGTGCTAAAAGAAATATCCACTAGACAGACATGAAAACACAAATTATGTAGTGATAAAAAACATGCTGAATCATTTACTAACTCCCATGGATGAGCACACAGACACATGCAAAACGAAAAGACTTGGCATCCTCAAGCTCTCTTGAAAAATTCCTCAAAATAAACCTCTCCAGTGCAGTCTACGGTCGACCCTGAACGCTCCCTGCCTCTCACTCCTACAGAAACAAACTGAACTTTATGCAGTCTGGGTGTGTATCTCTAAGAGCATCTATTTGAAGATACAGCCCCTAAATATCTCCAGCAAGAGCAGAAGAGAGGAGAGAGAAAGAGAAACCCTAAAGAAAACTCCAAACTGTTCCCAGCTATAACAGTCTTTGATAAATGATTCATACGGTTAAAAGAGATCACAGCTGACTATTAGCAAACAGAAACAATAACCAGTCAATCAATAAAACATTACTAGAGGCTTCTAAACACACCAGTTGGCCTTCATGGATATAAACCAGCATGCCTTGGATATTTTTTGGCTAATTTTCTCCTCTCATTTCAACAATTCCTGTCTAATGGAGAAAAACCGGCCAATATGGGACCGTTTCCTGTGTGACCTGCTATTGTAGCGCATGCAATTGCTTCGTATTAACTATTAAACACTATAAAAAGCTTTTGGACTGGAAGAGGAATTATTTGTGCATAAATTCAACCTAAACATAATATTTTGCAGTCAGCGCTCTAGAGCCGCAACACTACTAAAGATTTTGCACTCTGCAGGTCACAGCAAAGCATTCAATTCTTTCATTTTGTCAAAAGAATATATTTTTAGATGCAATATTAACTGCTGAGTAAGTGGTTTATCCTGAATGCAGGATATGAGAAAGCATGTGAACATGCTCTCTATATGCATGTTTGAAGGGAAAGCTCAGTTCCTCTCTTTCACCTCCCGCTGCTACCAATTAAACTAAAACATGGCTGCTTTGATCAGCCTCAACAATGAAGCCACGCAGTTAAGGCCGACGAACTAGTGCATTTCATTCTGTAGGGCCAGCACTCTGCAGAGGAGCAGGGCAGGTCTCAAGTATTAGCATGCATGCCACAATTAAATGCATTCACGCATTTGCATACTGCAAAAAGAGAGGCCAGAGCCAGTCATAACTAAACTTTTTTTTTTTTTACACAAAATTAATACTTTACAGAGAGACAGAAAATTACATTGACCAACAGATAGACAGATGATAAAACAACAGATAGAATGAAAGACAGACAGACAGAGAGAACAAAAGAACAGATAGAACAAATGGCACAGAACGATGGAACGACAGAACGAAAGATAGATTAATCAATAGACAGAACAATGGATTGATAGAACGATGGATAGAATGAACGATAGAACAGATAGATAGATAGATAGATAGATAGATAGATAGACAGACAGACAGACAGACAGACAGACAGACAGACAGACAGACAGACAGACAGATGGATAGATTTTAAAACTTTAATTATTCAATGATAAATTATAAATGACCTATTAATTTTTTACATCTTTTAGTGCTCTGATTTAGTCATGATCTATTCCGTTATTAGAGTCAATTACTGTTTATAAATGTAGAATATTAAATGAGGTGATGTCAATTTTCTATTGCTGGAGTACTTAAGAAAACTGTTTATTACAAGATTTGTGGTTTACAGACCCTGACTCACGGTGCACTTCTGTCTTATTTGAGGGCACAGGACTAAATACCCCTAATCAAATTATTAAGAATTTATGGAATGATTATGGTAAATCTCATCAGCAAGTTTGACTAATCCCAGTTTATGCTTTCCAATGCAAATGAAAAGCTGTAACTAGCAGCACTAACCTTTGTGCTTTACAAGCGTCCTGAGCCCCTAAGCATGCTGGCTAAACAAAAGGCCATGTTGATTTCTCAGAAAGGGACAGGAAATAAGGTTAGTTTTATAATGTTTAATAAAAAATAAAAAAAACGAATTTCATACCTGCATAAGCACCGAACGGCTTAAAGGAGCATTACGCATCTTTACTTATATAAGATTTTGAAATGCATTCTTATACAAAGGACTGGTCGTTAAAAAGTAGACATGCTCATTTGTTTTCTAATCCTTTTCATGAAGGCGTCTATACACAGTCGCTGGGGGATTTTAAAGTGTAAATTGCATTTTAGAGGTGATTCAGAGCCTGTGACTTCATCGTTATATTGAAGTCACTATCAAGCAAATTGCTGATGCTTCATCTCAGCATGGCCATTTACCGGCCCTCAAATCTCTGAGGGAAACTTATAAAACGGAATAGTATATAAAGGAAATGTATTTCTCCATCTGAGCAATGCACACAACACCAGTCCACAATTTCCACAATAGTGCGAACAGCACTGTGGAAATGGGTAGAGTTACTTTATTACTGAAGTGCTAATTAATAGACAACTAGGGATTTTGAACAGATATTTGTGCAATCCCTGAAAAAAAAAAAAAAATTTTGAATCATTTTCTTTCATCTTTCTTTCCAATAAAACAAACATATTGAGGAAAAAAATCGTGTTCAAATTTATGTAAAACATTCTTCAGTAAATGCACAATACATTAATATACATTTATTTATATAAGACTGAAATTTAGCAAAGTATTTCTGGCATAACATTATTTTATTTATTTACTTATTTATTGTTTAGATGTAGCCATCACTTGGAAATAAGACTCTTCTCCTCTCCGAGGATCCTCTCCAGTCCATACTGCAGACAGATAGAAAAAAAAAATTAAGTAATACATAACCTAGTGTTTCCTGTGATGCCAATCCATGATGACACTGCACCACTGCAAAAACTACAGCATCTCAGCAAAAGATTGATTCATTCTATCTGCTTTGAACATAATGACCTACAAAGAATGAATGCACAAAAAAACTTTAATATTTAACACAAATAAAATTTCTTATTGCACAATATTCAACAAAAATATGACGAGACAATTGAATACAATCACAGAAAAAAAAACCCAAGTCAACTTGTGAAGCTCCTGAGGAAAAGAAAACTCATTACATACTGTAGATAATGACTAGATTTTTACATTTTCTGTAAAAAAAAATTGCAAAACTCACAACCATGTTGCTAGGACACTGTGGGTGGTTTCCAAGGTTTTGCTTTTTGGCTGCAAATATGTTCTAAAATAATTGTGTGTTATTGTGTGTAAAAGTATAAAAAAAACATTTAAAAAAAAACTGTTTTTAGCTCCCTGTTAGGGTCTAGGGATTTTTTCCCCAGCAAAGATGCATTCAAAATTGTCAAAAATGAGAGTAAAAATTTTTATATTGCAACAAAATATATATACAACAGTGGCAAATTTCTTGAGCAGCAAATCAGTATATTAGAATGATTTCTGAAGGATCATGTGACACTGAATTCTGGAGTAATGATGTATAAATTCAGCTTTGCATCAAGAGAATAAATTACATTTTTAAACATTAAACTAGAAAACAGTTACAATTAGTTTTATTAAACTAGTAATATTTTACAATATAGTTTCTACTGCATTTTTGATACTTAGGGTGCTTTTAAGGAAGATCCACAATTCTAATATTCTGGCCAATACTAATAAAGCAAATAATTGGTAAAAAAAAGAGCTGATATTTTATACTATGTTGTCTAAATAAACTATAAATAAAACACTAAAAAATTTACTGTAATAAAGGCATGAAATTATGGCAAAGATTAAAAAAAATCTAAATATAAATGTAGAGTACATGAGGATGCACAATTAAATATCTAATATCTAGTATAATGATTCAATATTGACTGATACAAAATGCAAAATGCAAAAAAACAATTTTTAAATAATTACACATTATATGCATAACTACTTTATTCTTTTTCAAATCTCGAATAGCACTGTACTGTAATACCTATGCTTACTTTAGAAAATACCATTGATGATCACCATTATAACAAAGAATCAGACCTTATAGCGAGGCTGATAGATGACTGCTAACAGCTTCTTAGATAAGATCAGTTTAACTTCACTCAAACACCATGTGATATGTTGACACCTGACAACATGTCTATCTAACATCTGCCACCTACCCAGTGACTGAACATGGATCAAAACACCACTAATCTCTATCTCTACCACTAGTGTATGTATGTTTGCACGAGGCAGAGGTAACTCCTCAAATCCCGGTCTATCTCAACAACATCAGAGACACCACTGGAGATCCACTTCTAACGTATCTCTCTAACAGGAGTGTGCAAATCATAAAAAGCTCCCTCAGACCTCTCCACCTCGGTCGTGCAGAGTAACCTCCTCCCAAGTTCAGAGTGGTGGCTGTCTGCAGCCCCCCTCATTTGAAGCTCTCCTCTTATCGCTCCAGACCATTTGAAAGCTGCCGCAGGTACGTGTGTCCAGCAGGGAGGAGCGGGAGCGGGGTGAGTTAGGGGAGATGTAACGCGGAAGCTGATTAAGGGGTCGGCTGAGACGCCACAGCGACTGGAATGAGTCTTGTTTGAAGGTGGTGCTTTTGGGTAATGATGAGATTTCTATTTCCAAAAAGTACATCTGAAACTCATGAAATACATTCACAGCAGATAAATACACCACATTTTTTCTATTTTTGTTTCTTTATTCTACATAATAGATAAAAACTCTTAAATGGATTCAGGGTTGATAAAATGGGATTGCATTAGATGAACAACAATCATGTCCGCTTAATATATGAACTAGGGATGCACCGAATGTCCGGCAACCGAAATTATTCGGCTGAAAATCAAATAGCAACCAGCGCAGAGTGAGAGGCGCGCACTCTTTATTATGCAGCACACACGTCAGCAGTGTGGAAGCATTTAAACTGTCGGAGAAAGACGTAAAAATCATTACAAGCACCGACAGCCATAGACTGTTTAGGACTGCATCGCATGTCTTCAATGAGAAGAGGAAGGGGTGATTGTTGCTGGTCACTGTATGATGATTGAAATCGCGAAATGGCCTTAAACAATTAGTAAATAAACTGCAGAACGTTATGTTTTCTAATACACGCGCGTATTGCATGTATTCTGACAGTGCTGCACGAACTCACAGCAGATCTGCTTGTTAACCAGGGTTCAAAGTCCAAAGCGCGAGGAAAATCTGCGCTGATACAGTCGTCAGTTGCTCGGTCACATTTTTATGAATTTTTACAAGACATGTGACGATACATACAACATATTCGTAATGAGATAAATCTGTTGTCAACAAAAATAAGCATTGAGCTCTTCCTGCGTAAGACAAAACAGTAAAAAGCACATTTTGGCTTTTTAATTTATGCAATGGTGAAAAAAAATTGGCAAAATACATGGGGAAAAACTATTCGAAAAACCGTATTCGGCCTTCGGCCCGGTGTTTAATTTAGTTTGGTTTCTGCTTCGGCCAAGAATTTTCATTTCGGTGCATCCCTAATATGAACAATAAATTGTTTAGGTTTGAAATAGAATGACAGCCCACATTATTTATTCTTCTACTATGAAAAAAAGAATATAAGCAGTAACATGTAACAAATGATTTTTTCTTTGGCCACATGCAAACAGCAAAGTTTTGGGCTTTCCACTCCAGCACTATATTGTCACTAAAATTCTTGCATTTGTATATCCTTTACATCCATTTTTATGTATTGCAAACTTAAACATTTGTTATATGTAATGTATTCTGCATTTTTGTGAAAAATTCTGCTGACTGGTCAGTAAAATAATGCTATCTAGCTGGATGTCAGATGAGGTTGTCAAAACAGCAAAAATGACTTATTTTCCAGCATAATGAATTAATTGGGTTGGGTTGGGTTGGGTTACGTTGTAGCTATATAATGTTGTAACTTTTCTTTATGTAAAGAAAAAATATTTTCATATTTTTGCAAAGAGAATAATTGTAACATTATTTTAGCAAACACAAAAATCTATTACTATAAAAACATTATTATTCTTTTGAGAGGGTGGTGAAAACATGCAAGCGAAAAAAGAAAAATTTTCACATCTGCAAAAAGTTTAACTTTATGCAAATAAGCAGTGACGCAACAACCACCAACAGGAGTGAAGACGGTGGAACTCACATTCTGAAGAGTCATCACAACCATATTTAGGTGCGGTTTGTATGTGGTCTTTGAAAACTGATTATTGTCCAATATGAGATGAGTTATCTCAAGTGGAAGGTAGTTATGAAGTGATCCCGCTGCTCGGTTGCATTATTCCCTTGTTGTTCATAAAGGCCTTGAGGCACTGAATGACTTTGTGTTGACTCTTCTTATCCACCTTTTCTTGGCTGGGGGAAAAAAAAGAAAAAAAAGCAAGAACGAGTGAAGCAGAGCTCAGTGGGTTACGAGAAGACAAAAACCGATTCAAAGAGTTTAGTTAAACTGTTATGACCTCAGGACTCATGCTGAGGGTAGAACACACAACTAGTTTGAAACCTAAGCCTTTGCTTAAGAAATGTGGGTAATGAAATTTGTTTTACTGTTTTTTGAGCATGTAGTTGCAAAGTTGCTTATAGTCGATTGATTAAGGGGACCATCAAAATAAATTGTAACCATATAAAACATTGCATTTTTTTCAGTAGGAGTATAAAGCTCACATCAATTAATTAACATTAGCTCCACAGGAAACACTCAAATAACACTCAACATCTAACCACTCACAAGCTGTAGTAAGATACTGTGCAGATCTTAAATAAACAATGTCAAGATATGATACAGTCCATTATTCTGTAAATGAAGTAGATTTAATATGGTGTTCATTGTGTGTTATAAATAATCATACTCTTAAACTTATAACCACAAATACGTAAGTATTATGATGTATTATAACTGTTATGATTATTCATGAGTTGATATAACATATTATTAAAGTTTTTTTTATAATGCATTATGCATTCATTATAATGCCTTAAGAATACCCTTATAATGTATTATAAATACGGGCTTCATAGAAAGTGTTACCCATATTTTTAATACTATAGAAATCAATTGCTCCCATCAACTGTTTGATTACCAACATTCTTTAAAATATATT